CGAAAAAAACCTGCGGGGAGAACTGTGCAAAAAACGCATCCTCGTACCGGCAGCCGGTACGCTTTCTACTAGGTTTTTGGATGCGATGGCACTGAAACGACGCCGACAGGGAATAAAGCAACGTGACGACCAAATGGTGGGATGGAATGAATGAAAATGTCATATACACAAAGGATCTGAAAGAGACGCCAAAAATATAATAGCTCTGGTTTTAAAAATTCACATGGAACTGAAAATTCACATGGAGCTTTGTTATTATGCGTCTTGTGCTGCAATGATCTAGACGCATTTTGTGCTTGCACAAAACCCTGTCTGTCTGTACGCTTGTACATATGTGCATGTCCAAGGAGCGTTCTCTCCGAGGTTTTCAAGTCAGGGAGCAAAAAAGATAGGAAGTCGGAATTCCAGGAGAGTGTTCTGTATAGTGTGCGATTCCGTAGATTTAAATCCAAATTCCATGTGCGCTAAGTTCTCGCACATGGACATGTGGTAAGTTTTGGCTGAAAAATTACTAAATTGGAAACTACAAAAACTAGGAGACTGAAATTTAGTGTGGATGTTCCCTGTTCACGTGCGATTATATAAATTTAAACTCAGCTTTTAGGTCTTCTTAGGCATCACACACAGAAGCGTGATAGATTTGGTTCTCTACCTCAGGTAAGAGCTCTCTACCTCGGGAACCAAACACGACTGAAAGCTGGGAATTTGGAATGGTGTTTTTGTTAATGCGTAACCCTGGAATTACAAATTTAGCTTTCGTGTCCGCTTAAAGCCTCTTACATAAATACGTAATAAAGTGAGAGATTTTTAGCACAGGAATCGAACAGAACAGAGAGCTGAAGTTGGTGTCTTTTGCTCGTGTGCGATCCCATAAACTCAAATTCGGCTCTCACAACTGCTTAGATTTCAAGTATTGGCAGATGAAGTTATCAGTAGAAAATACTTAGCTCGGGAACAATCGACATTTCGACTATTTTTGCACACTCGGAATTGTAAAGCAATAAACATTCTTGACAGCAAACGCCAGCTGGGCAGAAACGTGCAAAACGTATGATCGCACCAGCAGCCCTGGTGTGCACTGTTATTTGTATTAACTATGAAACTTGCTATGTGGAGGAAATATTGAGAAGTTCCGCAGCGTTTTATAAGCAGGGCTTAACGTTAACGTGGGGCTTAAACTGCTATTCTCTGGATCTATGCTGTGTTGCTGGGAAGATAGGGCTGCTAAATCAAAATGCGGCATATGCACAATCTCGAAAAAAAATCCTGGATCCAAAATTTGAATAAGGGATGTGTTACTGCATATTAATCGCAATATTTTTGTTTAGCTAAATTACTAGTGGTGGCAGGCGCCTGTTTGGCCTTTTTTGATGCATGCGTTGGATCCCTCCTCACAACCTTTACTGGCAGTGACAGCCGAACAAGGCTTTTGAAAGCATACGCCTAATGGATTCACTCCACCAAACTAATTCACCCCGAGCAACACTTTGTCATTCATCAACTGAGCTGAAAATTAATACATGTGCTAGCACAAGCACTGACTTATAGTAACTGGTATTTGCTCACGTTTGTCAATCCATCTGCCAAATCCACCAGTTGAAATCAGTTTTGCATGCAAATAAGTGAAAAGTAGTTGGAAAACTGCTAGCATTCAATTAAACTGATAACCAGACTAAGCAGGTCGTGCGGCAGTTAGCAATCCTGGGGATGGTCTTTCACCCAAGCATTGCTCAGTGTACAAATTGCATTGCTGCTGTCTTCCTTCTTCCTCAGCACTCGGCTGGTAAGAAAGCTGAAGTTTTTTGAGGATAATGATTGATTCTTTTGGACATGAAAGAGGTAGGAGCTACTGTCACTCCTACTAATATCTTACGTATGGATCCGGAAAATCAGGTTGCAAGAAAGCATGATCGCACCGCCAATACTAGTGAACGTCGCTACTAGTTTAATTCTGCGAAACGTCTTGCACACTGGGTGTAAGCGCGCACAGAACTCATACGCCGGAATTCGAAACATGTTCAGAGGCAGTCTGTGGGCCTTTAGAACTAGAAATGTTATGGACATTGTCAGTTAAATTGCCGTCAATTATATGGCCTTAGTCAGTCACTGCTTCACTTTGTGTGACAAAGCAATTTTTATCCCGTAAAAAAAAGTTTAGAAGCTTAAAATATTTTTCTGCCTTCAGCCACCTGTTCACTTTAACCCAGCGACATAATCCGACGATGACAGTTCCAACCAATTTTCGGACGAGAAAATTGACAGTTTGTCTGTTATCCAAAACAGTGCTTGACAATATCCAGCCAAGCATGCTGCTTGGCTTTCTTCAGCTGAGAATTGCGCGGAACCATCTTCTGTTACAGAAGGTGCGAAACCATCATCAGGCAAGTCACTATCCAGTCGTTTTCAGACAAAAACACTCATCTTATGCTGCTTTTTTTAATATTTGAAGTAAAGTTGTCTTGTTGTTTTTTAAGTTTTTTGAGCTTTTATCCTGCATAGATATTGATAGCCTTCTATAACTAATTCGTTAGGTAACTACGTTTTTAAGTTCGAAAATTTGCGTTTCATGGTGAATAAATAAATAAAACCAAGTGGGTTTGCTGATGCGAAAATGCGTTTTTTTGCGTAGTTTTCACAGTAAATGCTTGTCACTAATTAGCACCGGTTTTTCCGCCGGTACTTCTAGCTAATAGATTTAAATGGTATCACATTTTAATAGGTCATCACAAGGGTTCCAGTGACCTCGCCGAGAAAACTTTAACACTTCAGCTGCTTGGCTGCTGAGTTTCGCAAGGTTTCGCGTGTTCGTACGACAAGGCGAAATGTAAAAGTCGTTTTGTGTATGTCTGTCCAGTCACGGTCATCGACCATTTTCAGGAAATTTCAGCCGTCTAATCGCTTCAGTTTCGGATCGATGAAATTGTTTATATCAAATTTCACGTGCCTATAAATGAGATGTGAAGGAGCACGAAGGTACAGTTCGCTTTCACGAGCGCAAAAGTGTACAGCAAATAGAATTGCTAAATTACAACCGTCTAGATTTTCCTAATGTAATTCTCGCGTTCGCTTGTTGCCAATTTGTACCTGGGCTGCAGGCATTTGAGATTTAGGGGAGCATGAAGGTTGAATTTAAATTATTTGATTCACATTTCGGCAAGGGAGATTTTCGTAAAGCTTCAGCTTTTCCTGCCAAAAAACTTTTCTCATGTAGGTGCTTGAGAGCTTGAATGAAGTGAATGTTCACTTTACCTTTAGGGTCACACACATAAATGTAGAATAAGTAGCAAAATTTCAGTTTTATAGCTTTTGCAGGTCTCGGGATTGAAAAACCCAGAGAGACGTTACACACTTATACAAGCACACACACATACACACAATCCCTTGACAGTACTCGTTTTCCTACATAAAAAGAATTTAAACTTGATTTGTTTGCCAGAAGTACAGCTGGGGCAGGGACAAATTGAGAAGCTTACGGGCAGTTTCAATGAAATAATGGTCTGCATGACTACCGATCCCATACTAAAGATCTACAATCTGGTTTTGCCTGGAGAAAGTTAATCTATCAACAATTCTTTCATGTACTTTGGTAGTAAGATGTTACTGGCTTATGCCAGAGAGTGATAAATTGTTAAATCTTCTATGTAGCTTTGAGAAGAAGATTCTTAGCAGGCAGGTGCCGTTACCAAGTGCTTTATTGGCAGGCACAGTCTAGTTACGGACTCATCTGCAAAAATGTAAAAAATTGAGGGAGTATGAAACTTAATTTTTGAAAACAGCATTTTTATGTGCTATGTGTGACCATAAAGCGCACCTTAATTTACATTTTTGTAAATGAATCTATTGGAGGTGGAGAAAGAAGCGCAAATTCAAGATCCAGAAGACTGACTGCGGCC